TGAGACAATCAACGGTTTCAGATGGCGGTGAGAGATCTCAAAGGCGCGGTAGACCTGGACCATGCAAATGAAAGAAACTGAAAAGTAATTTTTGTGATACTTTTTACTTATCGACCGCACTTTTCCTCTCTTTAATACTCAGTATACTTGTGCGAAGCTTCCTATTTCCCTTTTTTAAAGAAATCTGGTTACTTCGGTTATTTCAGCTACGCTAAGAACTGCATACGAAGAAGCTAAAGTTCTGTTTCAAGCTTATCGACGGAAACAAGGACTGTGGAAACAAAAAAGGTTCGTTGCGAGAGAAACGTTTCAGCGTCAGTTGGAACTTATGAGGTGGAAGGTCCTGGAAGCTTCAGAGAAGCGTCGTCAAATACTGGAAGAAGGGGAGTCGAAAAGGAACGAGGGAGCACTGCGTGATTGGTGGCAGAGCGAGTTGTTAAAGGAGGCAGAGAGTAAACTGAAGAGGCTGGAAGTAGAAGAACAGGCTGCTCAGACTAAGAAAGGTTAGTTTTAGATTTTAGTTTTCCATACTGTTCTCTGTACTTCTTCTAGGGTGCTGACTAGGAGAATCTGTTTAAGAATCAAGAGCTTCGTTACCTGTTGATCATTTCCTTAATTCTCCTGACCTTAATGTATGATTCAGTGGTGATATTGTAAGGAGAAACTAGATGCTAGTCACTCTTAAGGGTTAAAGAGTTGAAGTACTGTTGCCTGGAACAAGAACGAGCAAACATTCATGTGGTATTCATTAAGCTAATAAAGAAGGTTCTAACTTGTAAGTCTGTGAATAAAACGCTATCTTGTCTTCATTCAAATGAAAGCTAAAGATGTGGCAGGTTTCGTCATGCTGATGGTTATAATGATGGTTCCGACTGTTACTAAAACTCTGATGTGGGACCATTACCTTTAAAAAGTTATACTTATCAATTTAGCGACAACCACAAAAATGTGGAACCCTTATGCGATGCGTTTAATCCTACTGTAGAAAGTGGTTTTTACTTTGAAGTCTGGATGAAGCTTTAGTTTGAGACAATCAATGGTTTCAGACGGCGGTGAGAGATCTCAAAGGCGCGGTAGGCCTAGACCATGGAAATGAAAGCAACTGAAAAGTAAATTTTTGTGATACTTTTTACTTATCGACCGCACTTTTTCTCTCCTTAATACACAGTATACTTGTGCGAAGCTTCACAGCTCTTTTTTTTTTGAAAAGTCTGGTTACTTTATTTATTTCAGCTGAGCTAAGAACTGCAGACGAAAAAGATAGAGTTCTGCTTCAAGCTTACAGACGGAAACAGGAAGAGCTGTTGGAAACAGAGAGATTGTTTGAGGATGAAATGTTTCGGCTCGAGAGGGAGCTTTGGAGGAAGGAGGTTGTAGGACCTTTAGAGAAGCACAGTCAAATACCACAGGAAGAGAAAATGAAGAGGACCGAGGGAGTGCTGCGTGGTAGACGGCAGGGCGAGGAGGCAACGGAAGCAGAGAGTAAACTGAAGAGGGTGGAAGTAGAGGAAGAGGCCACCCAGAACAAGAGAGGTTAGTTTTAGATTTTAGAAGTTCTCCATACTGTTCTTTGTACTTTTCCCAGGGTCCTGACTAGAAGAATGTTTGCAGGAATCAAGAGCTTTTTTGGTTGGGGATCATTCCCTTTATTCCCGTGATCTTCACGTGTGATTTAGTGGTGATATTGTAAGGAACAATTAGCTGCTAGTCTCCCTTAAGGGCTAAAGAGTTGAGGCATTGTTGCCTGGAACAAGAAGGCGTAAACATTCAGGTGGTATTCATTAAGCCAATAAAGAAGGTCCTAACTTGTAAGTCTGTGAATAAAACGTTGGCGCGTCTGCATTCAAATGAAAGCTAAAGACGTCGTAGGTTTTGTTATGCTGATGGTTATAATGGTTGTTCCAACTGTTGGGACTATTGCCTTTAAAAAGTTATACTTATCAATCAGCAACAACCACATGGATGCGGAACCTTCATGCGATGGGTTTAATACCGCTGTACAAGGTGGTTTTAACTTTGAAGTCTGGGTGAAGATTAAGTTTGAGACAATCAATGGTTTCAGACGAGAGTGAGAGATCTGAAAGGCGCAGTAGACCTGGACCATGCAAATGAAAGCAACTGAAAAGTAATTTTTGTGATACTTTTTACTTATCGACCGCACTTTTTCTCTCCTTAATACTCAGTATACTTGTGCGAAGCTTCATACTTCTTTTTTTTGTTTTTTTAAAAAATCTGGTTACTTTAGTTATTTCAGCTGAGCTAAGAACTGCAAACGAAGAAGCTGAAGTTCTGTTTCAAACTTATCTACGGAAACAGAAAGAACTGTTGGAAAGAGAGAGATTGTTTGAGGATGAAATGTTTCGGCTCGAGAGGGAGCTTTGGAGGAAGGAGGTTGTAGGACCTTTAGAGAAGCCTAGTCAAATATTACAGGAAGGGGAATTGAAGAGGACCGAGGGAGTACTGCGTGATAGGCGGCAGGGCGAGGAGGCAACGGAAGCAGCGAGTAAACTGAAGAGGGTGGAAGTAGAGGAAGAGGCCACCCAGAACAAGAAAGGTTAGTTTTAGATTTTAGAAGTTCTCCATACTGTTCTTTGTACTTTTCCTAGGGTCCTGACTAGAAGAATGTTTGCAGGAATCAAGAGCCTTTTTGGTTGGGGATCATTCCATATGAATTGAAATTAGAGCTTGTAAAAATTTTGCTGTTTATCTTCTAAGAAAAGATTTCCTGTTTAAGACAAAAATTGATAAATCGATACCCTGATTAAGACAAAAAATGAAAGATTAGAGCTTATAAAAATTTTGCTGTTTATCTTCTAAGAAAAGATATCCTGTTTAAGACAAAAATTGATAAATCGATACCCTGATTAAGACAAAAAATGAAAGATTAGAGCTTGTAAAAATTTTGCTGTTTATCTTCTAAGAAAAGATTTCCTGTTTAAGACAAAAATTGATAAATTGATACCCTGATTAAGACAAAAAATGAAAGATTAGAGCTTGTAAAAAATGTTTTGCTGTTTATCTTCTAAGAAAAGATATCCTGTTTAAGACAAAAATTGATAAATCGATAACCTGATTAAGACAAAAAATGATACAAGCTCTAACGTTAAAAATATATCAAGTCGAAGGAACAGTTTTGGGTTAAGTCCACATTTTTGTCAACAAAAGGAAAATATACACATATCGGTTTAAGGGACATTGGAGGGTACCCAATACCGCAATACCGTGCGAAAAAATGGCAAATACCGATACCGCATATTTTAATTACATTTACAATCGGTTCCACGTACTTATGGTTGCTTCCATCTAGCGCGTTTAATTATCTCCGTCATTTATGCTCAAATATGTTTTTTTTTTTAATAGTTTGGTAGTTCGCAAATTTTCACTGAAAAGTAAATTTCATTCGGTCAACCTTTTGGTAGGAATGTACAAAACGGAAAACATGAAGAGAGGTGTGATCCCTAATACAGTCCTGATAGTGAATAACAATTCTCTTACCTTAAAACGGTTTTCTAAAGGGCATTTGCATGATGGCGTCATTACTACTACAACCGGTTTAGACTGTTCACAGTTCCCTATTTTTCCGTGAGACCGTCGGGATGGAAGACTTTGCGTTACCTCTTAAAATCTCCGACACCTGCTGCCTCGGTACATATGAAACCAAGATGGCCACCAGTAACGCAAAGCACTCGATCTCGATGGTCTTACGGAAAAATAGGGGACTGTGAACCGTCTACAACTACTACTACTACTTGAATACATTTAGTTTTCCCTTTCATATCAAATTTGTTAATTCCAAAGCGTTATATAACAAATTTAACGCTCTAANGAGTATTGACTCATTGTTAACTGTCACAAAATGACCCGCAAATGGTGTAATAATTTACCATTATGTCTAAAGACTTCTAAATATTAACTTTTATTGACCTTTATGTCTTACTGTGTGTTTTGTTTTGCGTATTGTATCGAAAGGAAAGCGCAAAAAACTCTACCGCAATACCGTAAACAATCATATTTCACCGAATACCGTCATGAAATACCGCAAGGCTAGACGATACCGCAATACCGTACGTTAAAATTTAAATTACCGAAATACCGCATGAAAAAAAGCCCAATACCGTAATACCGTAAACCCCCATGTCCCCCTCGTTTAAAAGGTGAAGAGTTCTTACCACATACAAAAGCTCTCTTTTTTTTTTTCAATACTGACATCTCGCGCACGAAGTGAGAAGAATATACGAAGGCTTGAAGTTCTATTTGAGAACGATTGTGGCCGTTCTATAAAAACCAAACTCAGTGGTCACTTTGTTAAAAACAAAATATGCGAGGAAACGGGCAAGGAATACTCCAAAATAATGCAAATGATCATGAAAGTGATTGCTAAAAGGCGATTGCGTGACACTCGGTAAGTTGTAAGATGACATATGTTATCATGTATCAGACAAAAAAACAGTCTTCAAAATTTCCAGTCTGCATTCTGTACCCAATCTGCAGTCTGCAGTCTGCATTTTGTACCTAGTCTGCATTCCGCACCGGGTTTGCAGTTTGTATTTTGTACTCACCGATAGCTAAAATGTGAATTCTGGCAATTCACCCAACATCACCCCAGCACGCGCAGTTCAAAGTAATACCAAGTAGTTTCAACTGTATCCGGGAGTTACCCATTGGAATTTAATGATCTTCAAAACTAATTCAAACCCAATGTATCCACGACTTATTTACAGTTTGCTTTGATTACGTCTGTGGATAAAACGCTGGCGTGTCTCCATTCAAATGAAAGCTAAAGATGTGGTAGGTTTTGTTATGCAGATGGTTATAATGGTGGTTCTAACTGTTACTAAAACTCCAGTGTGGGACCATTGCCTTAAAAGGTTATACCTTCATGTGTGATTCAGTGGCGATATTGTAAGGAGAAATCAAATGCCAGTCTCTCTCTAGGGTCACAGAGTTGAAGCATTGTTGCCTAGAACAAGAAGGTGTAAACATTCATGTGGTTCATTAAGCTGATCACGGATATTCTAACTTTTAAGTCTGTGAATAAAACGCCAGCGTGTCTCCATTCAAATGAAAGCTAAAGATTTGGTAGGTTCTGTTTTGTTAATGGTTATAATGGTGGTTCTAACTGTTACTACAACCCCGGTGTGGGACCATTGCCTTTAAAAAGTTGTACCTATCAATTAGAAACAACCACATGAATGCGGAACCTTCTTGCGTTGCGTTTAATCCCGCTATATAAGGTGGTTTTTAACTTTGAAGTCTGGAGGAAGCTTTAGTTTGAGACAATCGACGGTTTCAGACGACGGTGAGAGATCTGAAAGGCGCGTTAGACCTGAACCATGCAAATAAAAGCAACTGAAAAGTAATTTTTGCGATACTTTTTCTTTTCTACCACACTTTCCCTCTCCTTAATACACAGTTTACTTGTGCGAAGCTTCATATTTCCTTCTTTTTTTTTTTTTTAAAGAAATCTGGTTACTTCAGGTAAGCTAAGAACTGCGAAGAAGCTGAAGTTCTGCTTCGAGCTTATCGACGGATAAAGGAAGAACTGTTGGAAAAAGATGGATTGTTTGAGGAACAAATGTTTCGGCGTGAAAGGGAACTTTGGAAGCGAATAAAACCCTCTACAATATACGCTTTTACGCGAGTGTGTCTTTGGACTGATTAATAAGGCA